CTCTAACAACTATGAACACAAAAGGTAAAACAGATCTGAAATTGGTAGGATTCCCAGTACTGAGAGGGAGGCTATAACCTTAAACATATTTTTCATAAGTAAGCAGATTTGCTGAAGTGTGTTATTTTCCTAGTATGTTTACTTTCTTTAAGGTTATATGGCTCCTATCAAAGATTAATATGCAGGAACATTTTCTGACTCTGGAGTTTATGTTTTGCCAACAGTAGATTTGATGTTCCTTTGTCTTATTGGAAACTTTTTCAAAATAGTCTATTCTGTGAAGACAGTGGTAAAACAGATGCACTGTGTCTTCCAGTGCAAATGGTTTCAAAAGGCTCAAAAGTCAAAGTTTTCAATACAGATTTTATGATTTTTAGAAACCAAGGCTACTTTCCTGTCACTGAATGTATTTCACTTATATGGTAACCAAAAAACAAAGGATGTCACTGATCCAGCTATGGGTCTGTTTTGACTGTATGTCAGAGGTGAAAGTAAGCCAGTGCGCCGTACCGGGGCGGATTGGCTTCCCCTGGCGGCAATTTAAAGGGCCTGGGGCTCCCAGCAGCAGCTGGGGCCCTGGGCCCTTTAAATTGCCGCCAGAGCCCCAAGGAAGCAGTAGCGGGGCTGCTACCACCCCAGGCCCTTTAAATCGTCCCCGGAGCTCTGGGGTAGCGGTGGCGGGGCTCCGGCAGCTATTTAAAGGGCCCAGGGCTCCGGCTACCACTACCGCCCCGGAGCCTGCTGGAGCCCCGGGGCTCTGGCGGCGATTTAAAGGGCCCAGGGCTTGGCCGCCAATACCACCCCAGGCCCTTTAACTTGCCGCCGGAGCCCCACCGCCACTACCCCAGGGCTCTGGCAGGCTCCAGGGATGATTTAAAGGGCTTGGGTTGGTAGCGGCAGCTGGAGCCCCGGGCCCTTTAAATCACCGCCTGAGCCCCCGGCTACCGCTGCTACCCCGGGGCTCCGGCAGTGGGGCTCGGGTGGTGATTTAAAGGGCCCGGGGCTCCCACTGCTGCTACCTCCGGGGCCCTTTAAATCACCACCCGAGCCCCACTGCTGGAGCCCTGGGGTAGTGGTGGCAGGGCTCTGGCAGTGATTTAAAGGGCCAGTGGCTCCCGGCTGCCGCTACTGCAGCAGAGCCCCGGTCCCTTTAAAGCTCTGCCAGAGGCCGGGGTAGCAGCGGCAGCCCCCTCTGATGGTGATTTAAAGTGCCTGGGAATTTAAAGGCCCCGCCTCTTCCAGTAGAGGCCCCGACTCTTCTGGTTGAGGCCCCGCCCCCTCCTAAGGACTCCAGAGTACTGGTAAGTCCTTTAAGTTACTTTCACCCCTGCTGTATGTCCAACTGTACTGAAAGACGATACATGCTATTACTATGTACATGTTATCACTATGTACATCCACTAAGTCAATATTACAAAGTTTCAATGCAGTGAAAAATATTAAAACAGACATCTGTTTTACACAATGCTATTGTGTAATACAAAATGCCATTTTGGGAGTAGGCCCCACAGTCAAAAAGCTACTATTACAGTAATTACAGTTGTTTCCTATCATGGTCAAATTTCACAAAGGTTTTCATGATTCTTTCCCTCCCCTCTTCCCATTTTTTGTAACCAGCTACACGTTTTTTGCTCACTAAAGTTATTGTAATTTTATGTGTGGAATTAGGACCATACATTATCACAGCTGCAATGGGTACATTAAAGGCCCACTCCTGAAGCCCAAATACAAATCCATAGAGCACAACCACAGAAATGCACACCTGTCCATATACCTATATAAATAAATCTGTAGAAACTGACTCCCACACCTACATGCAGATACACACGTGTATTCATGTGTACACATCTAGCATGCACTAACACATACTTCCATATTATTACAATTGTTTAGTGCCTAGAGACCCCAACTAAGATCAGGGCTCCAGGGTGGTAGGTGCTGGACATACACATAAAAAGAGAGAGACTGCAACAAAGACTTTATAATGTAGCTAAACAAAGGTGGGGAGAAACGTATGCTACGTTGGCTCTTCTGCAATTATTAGTCATCAACATTCACTTTTAAGAAATAATACATTTCTTTTAGAGTTCCCTCCTCTTTTAAAAACTTGTTATGAAATAAATACACACATTTTATGCCATCAATTTTTTTTGTGCACAAGCCAGAAGGAATAAAAGGAGTTAGGCTGCAGAAGGAGTTAGGCTGCAATTATTATTCACACAGGTATACACACATGCGGCAATACACGCACCTCTCTACACAAAGACACAAACAATGCATGCATACACACATTTGCCTACACAGAGACACCCAGTCAGGAAGGGAGGAGGGTGGGCTGGAGGGGAAAAGATGGGTGTGTGAGTGGAGGAGAGAGGATGGGGAGGGAAAGAAGCCAAGGACGAGAGCAAGGTGGGGATGAGAGGTGGCAATGAAGGAGAGAGGAGGGGATGTGGGGTGGATGGGGATGCAGGGGGAGGCAGAAGGTTACAGGTGCATGAGGATGTGGGGGGCACAGGGGTGTATAGGGACATAATGGGAGTGCAGCAGTGTATGGAGGTGAATGGGGTGCAGGGCTGTGGAGGGTGAGGGACATGGGGGCGGCAGCTCCATGAGGTGGAGAGGATGGGTGTAAAGGGTACAGGGCAGGATGGGATGGGGGAGGGATGCAGTGATAACCGAAGGATGGGGGCGGGGGGTAGCTCCCTTATGGACACCCAGCCAGTTAGCTGTAAAATCCCTCTTGGTGTCTGTTCTCTGCTTGCTTTACCTGTAAAGGGTTAACAAGCCCACAGATAAAAGAAAAGGAGTGGGCACCTGACTAAAAGAGCCAGTGGAAAGGTAGAACTTTTTAAAATTGGGAAAGAAACTTTCCCTTTGTCTGTTGTTCTCTGGGCTGCAGGAACACGGAGCAGCAATGCTATGAGCAGAAATGCTGTGTAAGGTTTGAACCAGGTATGAAAAAGTATCTTCCATACCTAGAAAAAATTATTTGGATATGGAATGTTTGGTTAGACACAATCAGGTTTATTTCTTATTTTGACTTGTGGATCTCCTCTGTGCTAACCCCTGATGCTTTTGTTTGCTTGTAACCTTTAAGCTGAACCCCCAAGAAAGCTATTTTGGGTGCTTAATTTTTGGAATTACTCTTTTGAAATCTAGCAAAAGCCTAAGTTCCAGATGTATTTTCTTCTTTTTTGTTTTTAATAAAATTTACCTTTTTTAAGAGCAGGTTGGATTTTTGGTGTCCTAAGAGGCATTTTGTAATAATCTGCTTGTAGGTTGGCACACTTCCCCAACTGTTTATACTTTATTAAAGAGCAAGCTCACCTAAGAGGTTTGTGCATGTTGTTTGATTAGCTGGTAGCACAGCTAATTTCCTTTGTTTTCTTTCTCAGCTCTTCCCCGGAGGGGGGGTGAAAGGGCTTGAGGGTACCCCACAGGGAGGAATTCCCAAGTGTTCCTTCCTGGGTCCAAGGTTGTTGTTTTTTTGCATTTGGGTGGTGGCAGCGTTTACCAAGCCAAGGTCAAAGAAAAGCTTTGGGAGTTTAATACAAGCCTGAAGTGTTAAGTATTATTTTTTAAAATCCTTGCGGGCCCCCATCTTCTGTACTCAAAGTGACAGAGTGGGGATTCAGCCTTGACATGGTAGCAGAGCAGTGGGATCATTTTGAACCAGAAGCACAGACCTCAGGATTTTAAAAGGATACATTTTTCCTTTTGGCTGCTTGAAAACCAGGGAGGGTTTTTTTCCCCTTTCTTTTCTTTTCTTTGCTGCCTGAGGGGGAACAGGCAAGCAAAGGGTTCAGCCTGTCAAGCCAGGTTGTTATAGAAGGAGGACTCTTATACAAGGAGACTCTTTCTGGTGGGCACAAGGAGGACTGGCATCCTCAGAGACAGCTGGTAGTTCCAACTAAGTATAGGGAAAAGCTCTTAAGTTTAGCCCACGATCACCCTAGTGGCCACGCCGCGGTGAACAGAACCAAGGACCAAGGGGAAGTCATTCCACTGGGAGGGGATGGGCAAGGACATTTCTACCTATGTCTGGTCTTGTGAAGTGTGCCAGAGGGTGGGAAAGCCCCAAGACCAGGTCAAGGCTGGAGGCTGTTCGTAACTCTGAACAAAACGTTATGGTTGTTCTTTCAAAAGTTTACAACTGATCGTTGACTTAATACAGCTTTGAAACTTTATTATGCAAAAGAAAAATGCTGTTTTCCTTTTTTTTTTTTTTTACTAGTTTATGTTTAACACAGTACTGTACTGTATTTGCGTGTGTGTGTGTGTGTGTGTGTGTGCGCGCGCTGTCTGACTGCATATTTCCGGTTCCAAATAAGGTATGTGGTTGACTGGTCTGTTTGTAACTGTTCATAACTCTGAGGTTCTACTGTACTGTGTATGAGTACTTTCACAGAAAGAAAATATTGGGTACTAAAGGACTAATCTAGTGAAGAATGGCATAACCCAAACTAATGGTGGGGAGCACGTAAGCAGAAGAGAGCAAGTTTAAAAGATTTGACAAGATATTTTAACACTGTTTTAAACCCACATGTGTATAATTGATGGACTCCTACTAAAAAGAAGTTTCTGCAAGAAAAACAGAAAGGAGGTACCTCACCAATATAAAAGGAACCTATCCTACATATTTTAAAAACAAAATGCAAAGCAGTGTAAAGCACAACCACTTGCTCATATTTCTGTAATAAATATATTAAGGACAGCATCTCTTTAGATATGTCTACAGTAAGAAAAGGTACGTTTTTACAATGAGATAGCTACCATATGTAAAACTCTAGCACAAGCTGGGCAAGCTGTAGTTTTACTGCAATTTAGCTAGTTGAGATGAATCCTAGATTCCCCTCATGAGAGCCATGGTGCTCCCCTCCTACTCCTAGGTGTAGGAGGTTAGGAGACCCCATATTCTCTAATATAGCAATGGCCCATAAAATATCACATATGCTTAGAGACCTTCTTTGGCCCCAGCAGACCTACTTCCTAAATCTTACTCTGGAATATGGCAATACATAATTGTGATGCAATCATTTCCATTAATACCTTCATATTCAGCTATCATGTTGACAAAAAATATACTTCATGGAATTACAGAAACAATATTGAGCTACTGGAGATGAAAATGCACATGCTTCTTGGTTTGTTAGGAGGGTTACTGTAAAGGAGAAGTATACCACGAAAGCTTATGCTCAAATAAATTTGTTAGTCTCTAAGGTGCCACAAGTACTCCTGTTCTTTATACTGATCTTGTGACATGTTATGAAGCAGAGCCAAAGGCTAGCACAGAATTACCTGCCTAAATTTCAGAAGGAAATAAAGGCTTCTTTTGTAAAGGAAAGAGTGTGCCTCTCCAGTATACTCTAATTCTTTCTTTTTCAACAAAAGAATGGAGAATATTTTAAATATCAGAAAGATTTGAGTAATAGAATTCTTCACTAAGTCAAAGGCTATTAAAGAAATTAAGCAGTCATGGGATGAGAGTTAAAGAACTGTCATGGATCAGAAAATGGATACACCACAGAAGGAATAAAATAGTTACTTGCATCATTGCAAAAGTTAACAATGGAATGCCCCTAAAATATGAAGTAGAACTGGTGGTGTTAAATATTTTTAGCAATTATTTAGAAGATGCGGTGAACAGCGAGATGGCAAAATTTGCAGATGGAAAACTTAATTTACACTAGTCAAGATTAGAGATGACTTAAGAAACCCAGAGGTGCTCTTATTTACCTTCTCACAGTACAACAACAAAGGGAAAACCAAAGAAACTGAACAATAATTAATTGAACTGTTATTAACTTTTTCCCCCTTCACAGTCTAAACCTTGCTGCCACTAAATGTTGAGGCCAAGAATTTAGTAGGATTCAGAAAAGGATTAGATATTTATATGAACAATGAGAACATTCACATATTAGCTGATATTTTAAAAAGGGGGATGGAGCATAAGCCTTCATACTTTAGGCCATAAGCCAACTAATTGACCAGGGTTAGGAAGAAACTTCTTCTATGATGAAATTTTCCATAACTGTCTTTTTCAGGGTTTCTTGCACCTTCCAGTGAAGCACCTGATAATGGCCTCTATCAAGACAGGAAAATAGACTAGATGGCCTACACTAGTATGGCAAGACCTACATTCCAACACACCAGTCAACTGATATTCAGTTTTCTTTGGACAAAATAAAAGTGAACTAACGTTCCACACCACATCCCTCTCCAAGCTGTCACTGTGTCACATTCTGACAGCAGATAAAGTTAATGGGGATGTATGAAACTGATGTCATTATGGCTTCATGGCCCAGGCAGCTGTGATGATAGGAAACCAATAATAAGCATTCATATAACCTCTACCACAGCTCCTAAGAAGTTGATTACACCCTTTACTGTGCCCGAAGTAGAAAGCCCTGGATATGGAGATAAATAAATCTGATCCTAACTCAACTCTCCAACGACTATGCCGTAATGGAGGTAAAAGGAGGCAGTCTCCACAGGCTGAGACTGACTAAAAGATCCAGATCAGAGGGATCAGTTAATCATCTTCATCCTGATGCAGCCAATTTTGTCATGCTGGGTTGCTGTACTCTATCCCAACTGGAAGTTAAGATACTCCAATTAGGATGGAAGTGGTCCACATTTGCCAGTGGGGAACCACCCTATTAGATGCTTTGTCATGCTGAAGTCATCTTCTGCCAGTCTTTCCCCTCCCCAGCCAGGATCCAACACCTCTTAATGGTCAGTGTCTCTCTTCAAAGCAGAAGAAACTTATCAGCTCAATCACACTTATGTTCCTGCACAATAGCATTTTCCCAGGATCATAGGGGTCAGGACATTTTAAGCTGATAAGGATCATACAGTCCTAGTCAATTTCACCAGGCAACTACTGAGAAAGTGATCCTGTATAGGAGTGAGGACATCAACTTATGAGCTCTTCAAAATTCTCAAGCTTGGGCAGGAAGACAAGAGAAAGAGACAGACATGCTCCCTTTGTATCCATGTCTTGGCAATGCACAAGAATTGTTTCAAATGCACAAATGATTCCCATGCCAATAAGAGCTATATTTTAAAAGGTCACCTCAATGATGAACATTTATGGTAGCTGCAGCTGGTTACAAATCTACTATGCTTGCAGCAGAATGGTCATATAGCAAGTGGTTTTAGCACCTACTTTGGAGGTCAACACTCTCTGCCCATTACATGGGTGGCCAAACAAACACCCATGATACCACAGAAACTCTAGTGCTATGGTTTTCTAACCTATGTCCACATCATGCCCTGCCATAGCAAAAACTTGCAGGAGGGCCAAACATTTGAAGTCACAGCATAATATTACATAGTGCAACTACACTGGGAACTGATAGTTAAAAATTTCTACAAGTGCAAAATCCAGAGTAACTTGTTAACCCATTTAAATGTTTTCTCTTGTCTCTCCATTCCAATTCAGAGCAGCATCTCTGGTGCACAACTGCAGCCAAACCTCATTTTCTTTTAAGATTAATCTGAAGTGTGCTTAGCAATGAGACAAAAATCTGGGATCAATATTTGCAACATAATTAAGGTGCTGTTACACAAGCTCATGCTCAAGGTGCCCCATTTATCTATCTATAGCAGGAAGACTGGCATATGACCACCTTTTTCCTTTCGATTCACCAACATTCCTAGTATGGAAATTTCTCATCTCTTCAACCCCCTTGCTTGTATTGCTTTCCCATAATGCTTTAATTCTATCTGAGGTCAACCTTCAGTAGCTGGATGATGTGTGGGGGTAAAAATAGTGCTTAGATACTATGATAATGGGCACTATAAAAATAGTGCCAATAGATCTACAATTCATAAATAATGGAAGACCATCAAAATGGAAAGGCAGCATCCAACTGAGCAGAAATAGCAGAAGCAGGGCCGGCTCCAGGCACCAGCGGAGGAAGCACGTGCCTGGGGCGGCACATGCCAAGGGGCGGCATTCCATCCATTCTTGGGGCAGCACAGTCGGGGCGACTTCTTTTTTTTTTTGGCTTCGGCAGTTCGGACGGAAGTCCAAGCAGCTTTTTTTTTTTTTTTTGCTTCTGCTTGGGATGGCAAAAATGGTAGAGCTGGCCCTTAGCAGAAGTGACAAAATTCTGACTAGTCATAAATTCAGACCTCATTATTAATGGCATTGCAAGTTAATGCATAAAATAGCTAATAAAGGTTAATACTATAAATGACTCACTGTGTTACCATAAAACAAACTGATTCAACACAGCACTGCATGTAATTTCAAGGAAAAGCAACCTAATTTGTAACTAGCTATAAGAACATACTTCATATTGTGAAATTTAAAATTAAACATATTGGAAATCTTAATCTCCATCAACTGGTAAAAAAAGGTGTCTTACAAATGAGAAACAGTTACTGTACATTCTAGGGAATGTGTATTTATCTTAAGGTGTACTGAAGATCAAGTTCTACTGTATGAAGACAGGACTATATCCCCACAGCTCTGCAGTTATTTCATTAATAGAATATGCCAGTACTAAAAGAGTTGCTCTAAAATGGATGCAACAGTATTAAAGTTCTGTTCACAGTACTTAGAGATATTAACCATGAATGCAAATGAGGAAGAATAAGGATCTTTGTAATCTTAATCAGATCCCAAGCATACTGCATCTTGGTAACACGCTAATGACAGTATCCGGGTAGCAAGTGGTCTCCTTGTCATGCACCACCAGTTTGTACCTTCAAGGAGCCTCTCCATCCACCACTTCCTGTGAACCTCATGCAGATGCCAGAACAATGGAGAGTCCTTATGCTCAAACAACATAAGGACTCCATAGGACTAATGCTGCTGCTGGCAATGACCTCTGAAAACAGGGGTGGCTCTATGTATTTTGCCGCCCCAAGCACGGCAGTCAGGCGGCTTTCAGTGGCATGCTAGTGGGAGGTCCGCCAGTCCCGCGCCTTCGACGTACCCGCCGCCGAATTGCCGTCAAAACGGCGGGACCAGCGGACCTCCTGCAGGCATACTGCCAAAGGCAGCCTGACTGCCGCCCTCACGGCAACTGGCACGCCGCCCCCTGCAGCTTGCCGCCCCAGGCACACGCTTGCTGCGCTGGTGCCTGGAGCCGCCCCTGTCTGAAAAGCAGCTCTTGGATGCAAAGGGGAGCAGAAACTGGAGAGGGCCTCCACTGGAGGTGCAGCATCTGTACTCCCTTGTGCTCACTGGAGCTCCAAGGGACATTGGGCCAGATTTAAAATGGTATTTAGGTGCCTAACTGTATTTACAAAAAACATCTAAGCCCGTGTTGTGGCTTACTCCCATTTACTTCAACGGCAGTTAAGCACCTAATATGCTTAGCCACTTTTTTAAATCCCATTAAGCATCTATCCGCCTATTTAGGCACCTAAATACTTTTGTAATTCTGGATTATTGTTCCTAAAGCAAGCACAAAGCCTGCTAGAGCTCTCACTGGGGCAATGTACAACTTGCACTGCTCCCAAAGAATTATTACTATACAGTAAAATCTCAGAGTTACAAACACCTTGGGAATGGAGGCTGTTCATAACTTTGAACCAAACATTATGGTGGTTCTTTCAAAAGTTTACAGCTGAGCAATGACTTAATACAGCTTTGAAACTTTACTATGCAGAAGAAAAATGCTGCTTTTAACCATCTTAATTTAAACGAATCAAACACTGAAAGTTTCCTTACCTTGTCAAAAAAAAATTTTAACTTTACTTTTTTTGTTTATTTGTTTTAGTAGTTTACCTTTAACACCGTACTGTACTGTAAAGCATTTGTTTATTTGTGTCTGCTGCCTGACTGTGTACTTCCGGTTCCAAATGAGATGTGTGGTTGACTGGTAAGTTCACAACTCTAGGTTCTACTGTATTCCACAATCCAGCCCTTAGCGTTTCATTAGATTCTGATGGGCCAGTGATGCAACTTTTAAAGTGTGCATTCTTTCTTCCTACCAAATAGAGCCATACTACTAAGATTCTTAAGGTCTGATTCTTCTATCATTTACACTGGTTTAAAATCAGGAGTTATTCCACTCAAGTCAGTGAATTTACACCAGCATAAAATCAGCA